AAAAACGCCAACATCTAATAAATTAATTCTTAACATATGTTTCAAAGTGTCTCTCCAAGCCCTCGTCAAGGACTGAGTTATTAAGGACAGGGAAGAATAAATATTAGGTAAAACAAAATAATTGTGTTTGAAAACAGTGTTGATTTCGTAAACAAATGTTCCTAATATAATGTACATACACAAACATTTGTAGGTTTGTTTATGATTCTTCGTCACACGATCACACCCGTCCAACCTCTTTTACCGTTTTTTATAGAAAGTTCAAAAGCACAGTTCTCTAAGAAACGGAAGATTCTACTGATGCTAAACTGGGTTAAAACTATATAAATAATGTTTTTATCAAGTAAATATTTTTGTCTAGAAGAAAAACAATAGGTACTTGTAAAAAGCAAAGAGTTACCTTCAAAACATAACCTGTCACACGTATCGGTAATCGTTTAAAAATTAAAATAATTAAACCAAAATATTAAGATAAATCTGTTTTGAAGATAAACACAAAGAAAATACATAAGTTAATTTTAAAAAAATAAACTATTCGTCGGATTATTGTTAAGCCTTTGACTGCTGACAGAAAACTGCTGAAGGCAAATCCTCCGCTATCGTAGGCCACCGGTGACCTACGCGGCAGTTAACTTGTTAATGTGCCTTAAAAATACTTTTACTAATATAGGTGAAGTAACTACATCTTGATACTTGGTACTATGCAATACTCGTTAATTTTTATTCGTAAGTTTTCGTAACTTATCAAAAAGTAGTCAAACTTGCTAAAATATTGGTATCATTTGATTTTAGTCATCATTATGCTTAATACATTACAAAACAATTCAATAATTCATCAGTCTAAAAGTGCAATGGAAAATTTTGACAGAAATAAAAATGTAAATGTCTTTCCTATGCAAAAATATATGTAACAATAGTAACATAAAGATAATACCAAAATGTCGAAACTACAAGACGAAACTATCACTGAATTATTAAATATATCGAATTATGTAAAGAATTATTCATAGACACAATAAATGATTAATCTTTGTCCGCAATGTACTATTTTCTGAACATCAGTTTTTTTATAACGGGGGAAGATCATCGATTTACTTGTCTCCTTCCTGCCTGGGTGAGGCGGGAGAGAGTGTCACTCTTACTGACTAAAAACTATCCCGTTCCTACTCCTGAACTTCGAGCCGGAGCCCCGGTAACCCGTTAGGTTCTCCGCGGCTTCGGATCATCAGTAGGAATCTTCGTCTTCTGTTGTTTTTGTTTTTATAAAACGTTGCCCATAGGATTTTCTCATGTGTCGTGGGTGCGTTTTCACATACACATGACGCCCAGACCCGGAACAATAATTTGTGGATCGCACAAAGAGTTGCTCGATGCGGAAATCGAGCCGGCGACACATAGTACGCTTGGCTAGTGTTATGATTTAGGAATCATAAGTAGGTCATCGAGAAATTAGAAATTGGTGCTGTAAATCGCTGTAGGTTAAAGTGGCTTAAATGAAAGTCTGTTTTCTTTGTATATTTTTTAAGTATACATAACATGAGTAACATTACGTTCTATTATACTTGAAAAGGAAGTATAATAAATCATAAAATAAATAAAATAACCATATATTTTGACAGTATCAAAATTAAGTGGATTATTTTCAAGATATAATATATATCATTAACTAAGAACTAAATAGCAAATGTTACATTATTTTTTAATTAATTTGTAGAACCGATGTTAACATATTTATAGTTAAATCATAAAACATCGGAAGCAATTAATTATTATTACTTTCACTTTTTTATTTTTAATTAAGAAACTATTTATTGAATCTTTTATGTCATAAGCTAATGTTGACGTTTTTCGATTTATGAACCGATTATGTCATGCGATTAGGAATTATATCGATTTAAATTTGCACCGATTTTTGTGTAATTTGTTGCATTAATCTTATTATTTGTATTAAATAGCAGACTTCCTGATAGTTTTAAGAATATTCGAATATATTTTTGTAATATATTGTACAATTAAAATATAATATATTGATATTATATAGATATTAAAGTTGCCAAAATATTTAAAGATCTTTTTAGACAAGTTTATTTATATTATAGATACAGAAATGTTATTACAGGTTAAAATTTTTTGTAAGTATCGTGGGTGTTTACAAACGGCAATTTCACGCACACATCACACCCAGATCCGGAGTAAATATTGACAGATTAGACAAATATTTGCTGCAAATCGGAATCGAAGCCACAAAAATATCAATACTAAATTTCTTTCAAAATACCCGAATGACCTCTACTAATCTTTACTTACCATCCTTTACGACAACAAATTCCCATAAACACTTAATTCAATTCAAATAAGAATCGGTATAAATTTTAATCGATTGGACACGATAATCGATTCTAGACTTGTATATGTAAATCGGTTGATCTGGATGTCAGTCTGGGTTTACCGTATCATTTACTGACGTGGAGACGTGTGCGCGTGAGTGTGCATTTAAAACGAGTGCACTGACTTTTTCTTACTTTTTTTAGATTGTAATTGCAAGGTCAAGGTATAAATTGTTGAATTTAATTGCAGACTATTTTATCTTTGACTGGACAGTAAACTTAAAGGCTGAATGAATAGTTGCTGTATATCTTGTCTTATAATTTTTCTTTTTTTTCTCTGGTCTCGCCAAAAACCAAGTGGTTTTGTTCGGTGGCTTGCGTGGGTGCAATTACAAACATAAATAGAAATCACAGGCACACTTATAGATCACACACTACGTTGTTTCATGCGGGAATAGAACTAGCGATATGTTGCGCAGTACCCGGTTGTTCAACCACTCGATCCACCGTGTAGTCGCTGAGATAAACTGAAAGATTTTTTACAATAATTATAATACAATACTGACTGCCTCGTTGACCGCGCAAGTAGGACTGCCGGGTAAGGGGTCTCGAGTTCGATTCCCGGGTCGGGCAAAGTATTACTGGGTTTCTAAAAAAAATCTCAATAGTAGCACGGTGTCTGGAATTGTGCCCGGTATAAGGCAATAGGCTCACCCCCTATTACATGGAACTCATAACATAAATAGTGAAAAGTGGGTGTTACTTCTGTGTGCACCTCTACCTACTACTTCGGGGATAAAAGGCGTGATATTATTTATATACAATAAAATGTGCCCGTAGTAAAATATAACTTACCAATATAATACCTACATAATTGTAAACAACTTAATGAACATAGTTATCTACTTTGGTTTTACTGTAATTTTATTCGGGACTTGAGGCATCGATTTCTAAACCATTACTGGGTAGGGTAGGTTTACAGTTTGTGGTTTTTGAAGCCGATTTTTTTAAGCACAGTTTTATTTTAATCGTCTATTTAAGTACAAAAGTGTCGATCTAACTGTCATGCAGCTATAATGCACCTTTTTAAGATTACCACCATTAACAACCATAATCTTAGATTTATACCAAATCTTTAATATGCAAGCTCTCTTTTCTGACATTCCTAGGTACTTAAACTGTCAAACACCAAGCGGTCACCGGTGACCGCAACCTATTGTTCTATAATTGTGTCTACAAAACCGGTACTCGACGAGTTAAGAGAAAGTGACAATAAATATTACAAGTAACCAATTTAATATGGACAGGACCTCCCTAACATTGACATGGACCTACTAGAAAGAATGAATGCTTAACAATTATAACATTAGTAAACATGGTCCCATCTATATTAGTATTGACGTGACGACTACCGAATATGGTTGTTGACAGTATGTATGAATGAAAGTTCATATTGAGTACAACATAGAAAATGTATTGTAATTTCTTCGTGTGTCGTCATCGAGGATAAGTTTGAGTTACTACATAGTATAAAGCAAAGTCGCTATCCGCCGTCTGTCTGTCCCTATGTATGCTTAGATCTTTAAAACTACGCAACGGATTTTGATGCGGTTTTTTTTAATAAAGTGATTTTTGAGGAAGGTTTATATGTATAATACACGCATATTGCACCCGTGTGAAGCCGGGGCGGGTTACTAGTATAATGATATTAGGATATTTTGGCCAGAAATCAATCAAGATCTATCGGTCACTTAATAAAAGCTGTAGTCAATGTAAGCAAAAATAAAATAAATTATTTATTATCTAATACTTAAACTTCTGCTTACCACTTCAAATAACACAAACGTGATATTATGTATAAATTAAAATATTACGAAACGGAAATTAAACATATAATTACAACAACTTATAATTCAAATATAAGCATTTCGATTGCATAACAAAGTGATTACTTTTACACTATTAAAGATGTGAATTATAATATAATTCTATACTCTCATTATAGGGAAAATTATTCGCTTTATATGTATTAGGAAATCATTAATATTAAAATATTTATAACGTGGGATCTTCTATCTTGGAATTTTATTACGATTGCACTTCCCTTTATAGATTGGTAACGATTCTCAAAATTAAACCTTTACGTGCTTAAAATAAGGTGTAATTATATAGAAATGTTGTAGTGTTTTAGGTTTAAATTACTACATGTTATTTACTGGTATATTATGTAAGACGTTGTGTTAACTTGTTCTTTGAATTTAATGAAAGAGCATAACTTGTGTTTGTGGGTAAATAGGTGTATTTTTATCTTCTGTACGTGACTTCCAACATAAATAACCATGCCACAATATTGCAAATAAATATAATATAAAATAAAAATATGAAATCTAAATCATATTAATAAATTAGCAACCTATAAATATGACCTATATGGTGTGTTAACTTACTCTCAGTCGATAAACCTTTAACCTCGGTGTATCTAACTCTAGTTACCTGGTCATTGACCTATCAATTAAACTTAAGATCACTTGCTGTAGTTATGCTATGAAGTATCAGTAACCCTAAAGAAATATATACCTATGTTCCTTTATCGCATTGAAACATACACACGTATTGATACGACGTCAAAAGTTATTTAGAACGCATAACTTTATTGCATTTTTCTCTTTCCAGATGTAAATAAACAACGTGCAAGAAAAACAGGCCACTCGAGCGGATTATTGACCTAGTCACGAACGGTCACCGGAACCATTATGCCTTATACATCCATCACTATCTGAGCGGACCTGACCGGCATTGCGAACGGGAAGCACCGTTAATTATGCCAAACTATTAGCAACCACAATGATGGAAGAAGTTACGCCTCGTCCCAATGTCGAATACATCCCACCTTTACCCCCAAAGGTGAAGCAAAGAGGATCGACCACTTATACACAAATAACTAATAACGAAGCTACAATGAACCCAAACGGGTTCACCGCTACCGACGTCCGGATGGACTCGCTAAGTTCGATGCACTCACTCGTCCTTAATTCTAAGACACCATCTGCAACGGTATTCGTAGCGTCGACCCAGTCAGATCGACCCGCGAGTACGCCTAGCACGGACGCTCTCAACGGTCCACACGTGGTCACTATCAGAATAAACACCGATGCTGACAAACCTAAAGCACCAAAAATATCAAGCGTACATCTCAAAAGCGACGTTGACTTCGAATCTTTCAAGTTAAACGACGTTTGCAAGAAAAACAACAGCCTAGTGAGACTCAACGTTGACGAAAATAGACCGAAAATTATAGAAAACGAAGAAATTCTGAAAACAGATAAAGCGCCATACATTTACTGTAATTCGTTTGTCAACTCGATGACCAACATGGTAATGTCAAGCGGGCAGTGCTCTCCCAGTGATACCTTGGACTCCGGAACCTGCAGCGACCTTGACGGCACTCCACCACCTCTACCTAAAAAGAAGACTTCCAAAACTAGTTCAATAAAGAAAGCAGTATCTGTAACGCTTATCAGTTCGAGAAATGGGAGTAGTCAAAGTGAAGTAGATTTTGAAGACAACGATTCAAATATATCATGCGACTCTCTGAACAGTAGCGAGCTGAACGTAAGCGTGCACGCTGATGAAAGTCATAGCGAATATAGTAAAAAAGAAAAGAAACAGAGTGCGGAATCACCCGACGCGCCGGAGACGTTCGCCAAAGCGAACAATAAAGACACTAGCTTTCTACCGCAGGGTCTGCTGCAAGACATAAGAGACCGTTCAGCGAAACTAAATACGGTCGAAACTGAAAGCGAGCCGAAGCCCGAGCCACACGAGGAAGCGAACCAGAATATTAATGAGGATGCTAATATTTCAAAAGAAAGCGCACAACTCACATCGTTCCGTCTAGTTTCTCAGTTTAATAACGAGTGTAAGAACACGACGGAGTCGCTGCCCGCAAACTTGTGTTCCAAAACGCCACTGATTAGTGAGAGCACATACGAGGAACGAAAGCAACAGGATAAAATGAAACAAGAGCAAATGTTTTACAGCAGCCATTACTTTGATACGGACAAGTTTTACGATTTCCATTTGAACGAAAAACAATTCGATGATGTGAAAAGTGTTAGTATTGGTGCTAAAAGTGAATGTGAAGTGTCTGAAGTGGAATACTTCGCCGGTGTAAAGGATTATAAAAACGAGGAGATGCCATCAACAATAAAAAGTTCGAAAGGAACAATAAGGGGCGTGAAGAACCGCGTACGGGCGGGCATAGCAACGTTTTTGCAAATGCAGAACACGACAAAGGTAATTTTTTGTGATTGTTTTACTTTTTTAATTTCAGTTTGCTCTGTTTTTATGTCGACTGCTACCTCGTTATACACGTACTGATTTTAGAGGTCACAACTAAATGTATTCGAAAGTATAACACGCGAGCACGTCGTATTCTAGTTTATTAAAATGTTTATTTTTAAATGGCGTTTGTGAAAATGTTCGATATGAGCCTTCATGGTTGATTGTCATGAACAATGGAAGGGTGAAGGAATAAATGGATAAACAATTGGCAGTTGTAATTACCATTGAGAATTATGAACGGACGTTGCCATGTCTTGCTCCAAAGGCTTTTGTACGACAACAATTGTCATTGTAAGACATCGTGTGATGTAATTGTTGGAAAACTCGTCGCTTTTCGCTTTGGATTACCCATAAGAACAATACCTAGTCTTGATTTATTGCCTTCATTTAATTATCTTCAAAGGCATAGTAAAACGATTTGTTTGAAAATTGTTGTCTCTAAATAATGTTGACATTAATCATGAAAACTCTGAGAGTCATCCTCGTGGGATAGCCCCGGTGTAAGAACATTAGTTTCACTTTCCCTAATCGTAAAAGTTGACATAGGTTAGAGGTTGTTGTCCAAATAACTTGCCATAAAATATAACATTTACCGTAAATCAAGTTATAATAGCTTGTACTACACAAATAATTTATCTTGCTGTCATAACGGGGAAAATTGTTTTTCCACGCTATGTAGTATTGCGTGAAAAATTAACAAAATGAAGTGAAATTTTTTACAATAATTATTGTGAGACATACTATTCACTGAAATCGTGGGTTACTTACGTGAATATACTGAGAAAAGGAGTAGGCTGCGCGACATCCCCGCGACCGCAAACGCTGCTCATGAGGAAGAACCCCTCTGTGATGATATAGGGGAAAGTATCGTAACGCCGGACACTTGTATTATCTCGATAACAGATAACACGAGCGATTACATTTTTACTAGAAATCTTAGGAGTCTGCCACTGGGATTCTTCCCCATAAAAATTGAATTGCTCACATTATTAGCTATCGAGATAATACAGGAGTCCGGCGGCGTTAGGTGCCTTTCGGCTTTAAGGGACTTACCCCTACGTTACTTAAAAAACGCTAACGTTATTTCATATTTCTTTCTTTACTTGTCCTTGAAGTTTCTACTACATTTTAGTACATTTCTAGTAGGTATTACACAATACACATCAATAGCCTTTATGGTGACATCTGCTGATCAAAGCCTTCATCTCACACGGAGAAGGTTTGAACATTAATCACTATACGCGGGTTGACAAGTTTAAACTTATAATTAGAAATTATAATCCCAGGTTTTCTCGCGATGTTTTCCTTCGCCGTTTGTCAGTGGGGACTTGTAGAAATACATACATATAAATAAATCGTTTAATAGAGCAATAATCCCATAATTACCGTAAACATTAAACTACGTTTCCACTCATTTTCGAATGTATAGTTTTATCATCTGCATGGATTTCCATTGCTATAATCACATCGAGATCATCTTCCGCTTTCCTCGTATTAATTAATGTAAAATTGTCGTTTCCTATAGCTAAGGTCTCACGTCTAGCGGTAACTATGTCGGAAGTGTGACTTCTAGTTTTCTAAACGATTCTATTGAATGTATAGAAAGTGAGGAAAAATTGTTGATGATCATCATAGTGATGCTATTGTCTCTTTTATAGTGTTAAACTTTATGGAGTTCGTGTAGATAGATTTTATTATTATCATTTGTATCTACTTCAGTTATCATGATAGCATGATCTTAGTAGGTACGTTGATGTTCATTATGATAAAAATAACTGGGTGCTTACTCTTGAAAACAATCTCAATGTCAATGCAATTTCAATCCAATAAAATCTCAATAATTATCCAATGTCAAAACTATACAACCCCTATCGTAACTGTTAAAGTAGCATTTAGAGTACGGAACATAAAACCAAACTTAATACCATTTAGTTCATGAAATATCCACGCAATACGGATGCAAACTGCGCTAGTGTTACAACTCAAGAGTACGAAATTTCACAATGTCAATGTCGATCGATCGGAATTGGATTCAAGAGTAAGCACCCTGGTATAATGTTAAATGGTAAAGTCTCAGTTCATATGGTATGATAAATCTAATTTTCTCTTCAACATTTCTAATTGTTTCGATTATGTGTAAAGATTCAAGTGTTATTATTTCGCTGTAATTAACGAAGAAAATAGGCTCCCGATAAGTTATTTATTGAACCAATTTTATTGATTAAAAGTTTTCAAAATATCGTGATTTATCTTCGTTTCATATTCCACAATCTACACGTTTTTGCAAATAGATCGACTATTTTAAACTAAGAAACGTATCATTAAAATTCATATCGTTAAACTAGCCTGCGTGAGCATAATAATCAATTCTGATGAATGCATTACTTATAACGTGAGGATACAAGTTTATTAATCTAGAAAATAATTCTGCAATTACATATTTGATTGATTTAAATGCTGTAAAAGCTCAAGCAACCGCAATTACATCTTGGTTAGCCGCAGGCCTATGTCATGCAATGATATAGTCTTTACTTGTCATTACTTTATTTAGTAGATGTTCAAGTTCTATATCATTTTGTACCTTGGCTATGTAGATTTACAGTTTTTCAATATTAATGCTTTTATTATAAGCTTTGCTGTTTTATTCATTTTTGTCTGAAGATCTTCTATGTCTTGGTTATATTTTCCGTTACGGTAATATTTGTGATCCAATATCAAGTTGTCGGTTAATTGTTCTTCTTTTTCCTGTCCTTTACCTTTACTTTAATTGGTGTTTTTGAAATCAGTAGTTAAGTGGAACAATGAAGGCAATGGTTCAGGCATGTCACAAATTATATCAAGGAGTAAAACTGTCATCGTTATTTAATGCCAAATAATAAAAGACTTCCAATAACAAAAAAACCTCCCGATTTAACATTGCCAGCAATCATTCCAAACAACCTACTTTCTAGATCCTAAATAGGATCTTGGACTTGTAACAAATGTAAGCTATCTTACTTACACTGCTAACTTATAGGTACAAATTATAACTCCAGAACCTTCTATTCATAGAATAGTGCAAATTATCTGTTTCGCATTCGACCTAGATTTTGGCCTCTATCATCTAAAATTCTAGACTGAATGACTTGACAGTGTAACTTTTTGGTTTGCTCATATGTATGTAGTTCAAGTTGTTGACTTGACATTGGATCTATTCCCGCACGAAATAACTCTTCGTGTAATCCACAGATTGTTGTTCCGGGTCTGGGTGTCATCTGTATGTGAAATTGTATGTTTATAAACGCACCCACGACAGGAGAAAATCCTAGAGTGGGGCAAAATTAAAAAAATCTTTCTGTCTCCGTCTCTTAGCTTTCAAGTATAATTCTGTTCCTTCCTTCTAACCTATACCCAATAACAGGCCTTATAATAATATTCTTTGGCATGCGAATCCAAAGCTTTATAATATTGTTATGACCACAGCTCCCCATTATAGCGGTGATATTATTGTGATCTAAACTTGACAGATTGTCTTTAGAACGGTACTACGCTTTATATACCGCTTGACTGCTTAGTTACGCAGCGGGTTGCACTTGATCTTTGAAACCTGATTTTCTAGACTTTTCTGCAGTCTTCGACCTTACTATGGATACGTTTATGATTATTATTTTTTTGTATCGTGACTATAATTATGTGGATCGATCGGACGTCTAGAAATATTTTTCGCCAACATTGTTCTAATTAAGTTCCAAGGACAAAAGAGGGAAAAAACTTTCAGCTAATCATTTTTTTTGAGGGGGAAAATATCCAATGTTTTCTCCCGCCTAGGTGAGGAAACCACCTCGTTTCTACTCCTGCTCATCGAGTTGGAGCCCCGGTAATCCGTTAAGTCCATCGTGTCTACATAATATTTCGGTAATCATTTAAATTTAATTTCGTATTGTGTCTATAATTATGTGGATCGATCGGACGTCTAGAAATATTTTTCGCCAACATTGTTCTAATTAAGTTCCAAGGACAAAAGAGGGAAAAAACTTTCAGCTAATCATTTTTTTTTTGAGGGGGAAAATATCCAATGTTTTCTCCCGCCTAGGTGAGGAAACCACCTCGTTTCTACTCCTGCTCATCGAGTTGGAGCCCCGGTAATCCGTTAAGTCCATCGTGTCTACATATTTCGGTAATCATTTAAATTTAATATTTGACAGTTTCATGGAAGCTTGTATATCAATCAATACATAGTATAAAACAAAGTCGCTTTCGCTGTATGTTCGTATGTATGCTTAGATCTTTAAAACTACGCAACGGATTTTGATGCGGTTTTTTTTAATAGATAGAGTGATTCTTAAGGAAGGTTTGTATGTATAATACATGCATATTGCACCCGTGCGAAGCCGGGGCGGGTCGCTAGTTAATGTTATAAAATTTTCTAAACCTGTATGTTAAACTCAACTTGCTTCACGATGGCGCTTGTAACCATTAATTATTTGACACGATGAAACTACAAAATACCAAGTATTATAGAATATATTACAAACACCCATTCCTGTTTGATACCAAAAGAATTTAGGTACACTTCAAAAATGTGCTTCGATGCGACCTTTATCCACAACATACCTACACATTTCAATTCACGCTTCCTCATACAGCCTTCCGTGTGCTATAATTTTTAGCCTTGGCTTCACTTACATTCACTGCTCGCTTCATTTAACTATATTATTAACTGTTTGTTTTTAACTCGTTCGGTAATTAGACGTAATATGTTATTTGATGTGTGTGGTCACGATTTGTTTCGGGTAATCATTTGTGTTTGATTTGTTATTTGTTTCGTTTAATGAGGCTTCTGCCCTTGTTTATTTGTTCGCTTTAATTTTGATTTGATCTTTATCTTTAATTTTCGAAGCATCCTTCGCAAGAAGTCCATTGTTTATTGTTTTTTTAGCTCAAGAGTAGACATAGCATCCTTTTCATAATTT